GAATACCTTTCCCAATAAGAGATGAGGCATATTGAAAACTATATTAAATTACCCTGATTAACAATTTAGCCACGAACAGGGGAGCTTTGGGAGATCTCTATAGGCAGAACTGGGGGCTATTCATGCCAGCAGCTAAGAGGTCGAAAGGTTTCTGAAGTTCACAGGCTCAGAGCCTTTGTTATGCTAACAGACAATCTCAAATCAGCTGCCTAGTGGAGTGTGAAATATAAATGATTCCTTGAGAACTTCCAATAAGTTGTCACTCCTGCTCTCCAAATACCAGGACAGGCTGCTAATTTCTAGCAGGCCCTTTTGCAACATCGCTAGCCCTAAATGAATGCCTTTGTAGTTCAAATAATCTTTTCAAGGGAGCTGTCCTATCATCATAGTCCAAATGCATCTTGGTTTTGACTATTAAACGAAAATCAGGCCTCAGCTGTGCTTGACTTTTTCAAGCTGCCCGATGTTTGGGAAGGGTGGTGGCAACTCTCAGGCACAACAAGTTAGCACCCACTGCAGGAGGGCCAGGGCATTAATAACAGCCTGAGGCCCCAGGAGCTACCCCAATTGTCACCCCCACTCTCTACCAGGAACAATGCTCCGCGAGAGATTTACGTGGCTTCCCTCAGGCTGGACTACCTTCCTCTTTCAGCTACACCAACATCCTTCTGATTTATGTCCAAAAGGACAGCCAGCTGACCTGCTAGCATCTGACTGGTCACTTCGAAGCATCAACTCTGGAGATGGATGTATTCATTCTTCGGAGCAGGCGAGGCCAAGGGGAAGAGGGCAAGGTGTGTGTCCAGGCCAGGCCCCTAGTATCAGGTGCCGGTGTATATTATTTTATCATTTTCCCATAAGAAGGATATGAACATGGCTTATGATCTTGGGTATGACCTTTGAGCTTGTCCAGATGGGTCACAAAGGGGCTTGGCTCTCTAAGTCTGAAATACAAAGCTTTTTAAATAAGGAAAACTACTCCCCACTCCAAAACCCTGACAAGTTGAGGGGAGCAAGAATGAGAATCTATCTGGGAGAGTGTGCCCAAATTAAACATTTCAGTAAGAAAGGACAAAGCTAATTTATACAAGTAAAGAAAACATGCAAAAGAGAGGACAGAGGCCAACGGAAATTAGAAATCCAACTGTATCAGTCTTTACAAAGGAAGGGATAAAACCTTAATAGTAATAACTTGGGGCCTAAAGATGTTAATATTTCTGACTCCATATCCTCACCTTCTTTGCACAAATAAAAAAAGGTCCATGATATCACAGAAGTCTCTGGTTTTTCCAAACAGAGCAGGCTGGGTTTTGGGCAGGGAATGGGAAAAAATCAAATGTACTATATTTCTTAATATATCCTTAGGATAAGTTTATAAACATACAAAAACAATGTATTTTAATAAACCCTTAGGTAACTTTACAAAGCTTGATGTTGCACCTATGCAGAAAAACCAAGGGCTTCCATATCCCCTCATCTTCCTCCTCTAACTACAGTTTTGAAATATTACATAAAAAATGTTTGGGGGAGCTCATTTTGATTGCTATAGAAACTGGTTATGTACCCACTTTTTTTTCCTGCCTGAAGTATACTGAGACTTACAACTATATATTAAAATACTAAATATAAATAAGAGTGGTGGTGTAACTTATACCAGTTTTGAAATCTGGCTTACATGTTTACATCTTGTTTTTTAAAAGCCAGGATACCAAGTATGATTGTAACAGGCTCTGGGATTCACCTGACAGAATTTGGCCATCAGAACAGGAGACTGCCTAGGAATCAGGTCATTATTTGTCTTTCAAATACTTATTTGTTTCACTCGGTAAAACAATCTGCAAATAACGTAGATGAGAAAAATTAGTTCAGATTACTGACGTTAAAGGAGTAAAAGTTTGTGGTTTCTTCTACCAAATACCAGAATCAGAAGATCATTTGTTATTGGTCCCCTCACACTCTTTTCAGAGGGACCTGGTTATTCTTATTTCAGAGATAGCAGAATGATTGGCTTCAGATGCACTTCCAATTACACAAAAAAGAAGGCAACACTGATAACTAAAAGTTTGGAGGATGTGACACAACTTGCTTAAATTTAACTTTTCCTTGTTTTTCTGTTCTGAAAATTTTAATTAACATTAAACTGTAAGTATCTACATATTATTGACACACGCTGGATATTCAAAGGAGAAACACCTTCCCTGTGCTTCCAAATACTCATTTTACCACTTCCAAGTGTCCTCTCTCTTTCCTGTCTTTAACACATCAAAACAGGGAAGAAAGCGCTTTTGTGTTATAACTACAGAGAAAACATTTGAGAATGTGTCAATGCTGTGAATACCAGCACCAGTCTGGGGGGTGGTTTGTTTTTCCCCCTGCCGTGGTTATTTCTTTTCTCTTTGCCTTTTCAGTCTTTAAACTCTGGCCACTTTGAGAAAAGCAATGGTTGAAATGAAAAGTTAAGACAAATTGCATTAAATCTGGGTGTTGCCAGAATATGAGCATGATGAAAGCAGTGTTGGGACATTATGGAGCCAGAGGAGTTCTCCCCACACAGAAAATTAGAATGAAATAAAATAAAAAAGATAAAAGCTGGTCTTTTTTTTTTTTTTATACTTTTTCTTAAATACGTAAGATCTAAGAGAAAGGGAATTCCTGTTTCAAAAAAGCAAGTTTCCAGGGTTGCCATTTCTCCATAGTGGGGTGTGTGAATGCGTGTGTTTGTGTGTGTGCGTGTGAGTGTGTGTTTGGGGAGAAAGGAAAGAATGGGGGATGAGGAAGGGCAGATAACTTCACTGACATATTAATTCTTTAGATAGCAGTAAATGAATGGTCCAAATAGACATTTGTTTCCCTTAATAGGTTTTGTACAGGTCTCTTACAAGCTGTGGCATATGCTTCATTTATATGTATATTTATTTAGAAGGAAGGAGAATAATAGGTGTAGTTTGTCTACAGTTGCAGTTATTTTTTAAAGCCCAAAGAGGTTACAACTAATTTCTACTGCAAACATGGATACAAAGGTCTCTGCATATGCCTCCTGCATTACGTCAAAGGCCAATTAAAAATGAAGATAATATTCTAACTCTCCAGCCTTAAGAGAAGAAAGAAGGAGACTAAAAGGCAAAATGACTCCAAGATGGCTGCCTCTTCCTTCTTTCCCTCCTTACTGCCTGTTTTCCACATAGAAATTAATGTAATATTTTGTTTAGAAATCACACTGTAGGTCATTTGCAAATGAGGCAGCCTCTGAGGCACAGATATCTGCCTAGAATACTCTCATGATGCCATCGAGGTTTGGAGAGAGATTAAAATGCAAACATTCAAATGTATTTAGATTTCTACATAGTGACTGAACTCACACACATACACACTTGAATGTGTGAACCACACACAGCTGCAAATGGAATATAAGGCCAAAATCCTTCTGAATTCTTAGGACAGAAGGGCAAAGGAAAGTTCTAGGTCACCACCTTCCTCCCCAAAGATTGGAAAATGCCCTGTTCATGGTCAGGATTCAGTTTTTAAAAAAGATGTATCTTACTGATGACTCATTAGGCAGATTTCTCAAATCTGGGGAGGCCAGATTTCCATAAATTATCTAATTCATCTCATGCTGGTGCAAAATGCAAAGTTAAAATTGTTTTTGTATTTTTTGCATTATTTAAAAAAAAGAGAGAATACTAAGCTAACTATTTTCCTGACTAACATGTTAAAGGATTAAGATCACTAGTAATTATGGCTCTTACCTATAATAAATAAATATTCTCAATCATAAAATCCCACTCATAAAGTTAAACTAAAATAATGTTGAGAATAAATAAAAGTATATTTGGGGCTTTATAATAGATTTATAGCAGGTTACTGTCTAGACTGGAGTGCCCTAGGTATAGAACAAAGCAAGTGGTTTAGTTCCTATAGGAAATATATTAAAAAGAAAAAAAAAAACACAACCCTTTATCTAAAAGCCATCAGGGACAAGCACTCAATACAAGTTAACAAGCAGGAACTGATAAGATAACATTTATATGAGGTCAGAAGTCAAATGCCAGTCAAAGGCTTTTAACCTCTTGGGTCATAAACAGGAATAGTTAAAAGTGAGAGGTAGTTATTTATCGGATTTTAAGGGTACCTGATCATTGCCAGAGAATCACCGATGATAAGACTAATTAGGATTTATAGGAAAAGAACTTTGCAGCTGTTCAAAGAAAATTAACCTACAAACCCATAATTCTTCAATTGATAGGAAGAAAAACAAACAAAAAACACTCCGCTTTTTTGGGGGAAAATTAATCTAGCAATTTAAGCAGATCTAGTAACAAAATCTCTAAGAAACAATAATTTATAGCTAATGTACACATTGATTAATATATGATAAATGATAGCCCTGTAAATTCTGTATGAACAATTTAACAACAAAAATAAGCATTATATTATTTCCAATTTTTGTTCTTTTTCTTTTACTCCTCAGACCTACTACATTAGAGAGAATATAACTCTGACATCACTATAGTTCTTGCCCACAGAATGCCATCATTTATAAATTAAAAAATATATATATGTATTCTAATAGCAATTATTTTAAAACATCAGAATATCACAAGTGCTTAAATTTTCATCTTAATCTAACCTGAGAAATAGATGTCTCTTCCTTTATTTGCTGTCAGACTATTTTCCTTTGTTTTGATTTTTGTCCTTTTTGTCTTTTTTAAAAAGGTTTACATTCCAAACTCCCAAATAGTTCCTGATCCCAGAGTCTGTGCTGGCTTATATTTTCAAAGCATACCACCCCCCTTTTTTCTCTTTTGCAGTAAAAGAAAGCAGATCTAGATATTTCTTTCTAGAGAGAGATAGAGGGATTGTTATCAGGCCTGCTAAGGCCCACTGTTTCTTTAAACAGAGTCCACAATACACTAGGCGAACATTGTGGATTTAAAATGCTTTTAAATATTTATCACAAGTATTTTATCATCATATTCAAATGACACCTGGAGTGCACTCACCTTTATTGACAATCTCTGTTCTGAAAGTCCATTTGCTTCCTTAAAGCCCCCCAAGCAGAACAAGGACTACCCGTTTTCATTCAGTTAATGTTTAGTAAAAAACCAAGCAACCTTAATCAGCATGCTGATTGCATCGTCAACTAACAAATAATTTACTACTCTGAGCATTGCATTCCATTAAAAGCTCATTAAATTTTCTGTTCTCCAATGGGAGGTTTAGCTTTTGAACTGCATGCTTTTGCTTCGAATGATCATTTATTCAATTTTTGCAAAATGTTGTGGTAATTTTTTTTCCTAAAGTATAGGTGAGCATTTCAATACCTATAGACTGCAGAAATATGGAAACACAGCCCAGCATTTGGGAATGTTCCATTTGCTTTATAAACTCTGTGTAATAAAAATTCAACATAATCTCTTGAACTTTTAGGAAATCCTGAAATCACTGAATGTATCTGTTGTCATGCGTGACCCAGACACAGCCTCAGAAATATTAATACATATGCTAAACATCAAATTCCCTTTTTAAAGCTCAAATTTTCCTTTCCACATATTAGAGCTTTTGTTATTTCTAGTATTTTAATCCTCGTAAAAAGCTGTTTTCTACCATTTCAAAAAGGAGCATGACACCACAAAGCCCTTACCATATTTGACACCAAACTTAACTACCTCGAGTGTGTGTGTTTTGGGGGGATGGCTAGGTATAAAAAATACCCACATTTTCTGGGGCTTACACATTTTTTTGACAAACTCATTTTTTTGTCAGTACCCTGAATTATTTTCATGCCCAGACTTGTCTGGGAAAGAGTATATTTACTATTTTTAATTTAGAGAAATGAAGGAAAATATCGGCCCCCAGATTAACATGCATCTTTGGATTGCTAATTGTGCTCATTACAAATTTGGGTCATTTTGCATGAGTGACTCTAATGTAGGGCTGAGATCACCGTGCAGCGCAGTAGATTCCTGCTTCCCCGCGCTAATCCTGAGCTCAGTGATTGCGTCAGGTGGAGGTCTGTGTGCTCTAGCAGCTGGCTCATCCTCATCAATGCAAATAAGGCAACTCCTACAATCAGAGCCTCGCGAGTGGGAGGCCTGATTGCTGAGGGCAGGCTAAAGCACAACACAGACTCTCACTTTCAAATCACGCTAAGTGACAAGACAACTGCAATGTCCCTCCAGTTCAAAATCAACCTTTTGAAAACAAAACAAGAAGAGGATGGCTGCAAAGAAGAGGAAAACCCCAGTGTTTGGGAAATGGTCTTGTTTAGATGGGCTTTATTTAGATACAGAGATAATGTAAAGTGCATTTCAACAACTAATTCTTTAGCTCCTATTCTGTGCAAGATACTTTGTTTTAAGGGCTGCAGAGGATGCAAAAGTGAGGGAGATAGAGTCCCTGTCTTCAAGGAACCCTACCATTTGCAGAAAATTGCAAAGATTAGGATAAAAACAGAATTATTATTAAGGCACAGTCACCAAAATCTCAAGTGAATACCATAAAACATATTGCCATGAAAACTATTTAGAGATGGCATTATGGCCCAGATGTCAAAAGCAAGACTCTGGAAGCTTTGGGTTCAAATCCCAGTTTTGCCACTGACTTGCTCATGACAAGTCAGTGGCAAAACTAGAATGCCAGCTTCCCACAACCTTAATGTCACCCTCTGCAAAGTGGTGGTGACACAAGTACCCACCACCCAGGGATCTAAGAAGAAAGAGGTGAGGTTATAGACTTGCCACCGTGCTTGGCACATAGTAAATGCTCAGTAATGTCAGCGGTGGTTATCATTTTTCCTCCTTAACATACAAAGAAGCAGGGAGGAGGTGTCCAGAAATAACAATGTGCCACAGTTTGAAAGGCATTTATTTGATCTGTCTCTAAATTCCCATTTTACATGTAGCACTTACCCCGTGGAAGTGAAAATACTGTGAATGTGAAAAAGCCCCGCATCTCTCACTGGTGTCTGGACAGCCCTGGCAGCTCGGAACATGAAGGAGAGAACAAGAAATCCCTGTGCTTTTCCTTTTCTTCTTTTCCAAACCTGTGTGCAGACTTCCCCTGCATTTCAGCCCCACCCTCTTTATTTTACTGCCTAATCTATAAAGGAGGATTAACAGTAGCATGCTGCTTTGGCATAGAGCAGATTCTGGGTGAGGACCTGTAGGTAGAGTTTAATGAATACAATTTCCTAGGACTCTGAGTGCATATTTTTAGCTACATGCTGGGCTCCAGCATAGGCTCTTGAGACAGAAGAACAGACCCTTTGATCAGACTTGGGTGTTGCTCCAAAAAGAACCTTTTTCAGAAAGTAGTTGGCGGAAAAGTGTCCTCTGTTTCCCTTATTCCTAATTTGCCTTCTATAGATTCAGATGTCGGTTAACTGGTCCCAATAAGTCGCATTGCAACATTGAGGTACACCATTGTGGGAAGTAAACCTACTTCTGAGCAGGAACAGATCTGCTTTCTCACTGAAAGCTGGTGCTCAAGGGTGTGGTTGCCATCCTTCCCCCTTGGAGAGTAAACTAGAGGTAGTTAACCTTCCTGGGGGAGGCCTGGCCTAGACAACGTCATAGACACCATATCCCCCCTGGAGTTACCAAACAAAAAAACTGCTTCCTGTGCCAAACACAAAGAATGGTCTGGAGTTGGATATTAGCAAACAGCAAACCACATAAAGAAAAAGGGAGGGAAGGAGGGTGAAAGGAAGAAAAGGAGAATGACCGGAAGGATGGAAGAAAAGAAGGAAAATCACACTAAAAGAAAGCATAAAACAAAATCTCTTCTCTGTTTTAGTTTGGCAAGGAGAGGGCAGCCATCCAGTCTTGTCTTGGTTTTAGCCAGTCAGTGCCATGACAAGGATGGGGAGGTGGAGAAGGCATTTGGACGTAATGCCCAGCAGAGCAAGGATGAGGCACCAGGGCTTGTGGAAACAGGTGAGACTTTAAGACCTGGGCATTGGGAGAGTGTGAGCAAGATGGTGAGTGATTTGATCTTTTACATTCCTGCTCAGGATGCTCTTCTTCTCTTTTTAATAGGATTAACAGATATTTTCCTAAGCAGAAATCAAAATGTGTCAAATCATCTGAGACAGTCAATTTGTTCACAATGCCCACATTCTTGCAGTACGGATGCAGCACTATTCAAAAACAGTTTCATTTCAAGAGATACAATGCAGCAGAGAGGTAAACATTTATCTTCATAATCTTACACTCCTTTCAGACTGTTTAATTTTTCCAGTGATTTTCCCCTCCTCTTTCACTCCACCCCCAAGCTCAGCTTCAAAACATTTAGTACAAAAAAGACATGACTTCCCCAGAGGATTCAGGTCTCAGTGATCCTGATGATGCAACGTGTGCTCTCCATTATTCCTGGAGCTCCCTGGATATATTCCTGCATCCTGCCTCACAGCATCCATTGCCCCCAGGTTTGCATCACTTAACAAATCCTCCTCGAACACCTGCAGAGGTTTCCACCACCTCCTCTTCCCACCTCATCCCAAGTTATCAGGACTCTTTCTCCTGTCTCACCCCACCCTACCCAACCCCCACGCTTTTTTTTTTTTACTGTTATTATTGCTATTATCATTCTGTGCACTAGTACAGCCCTCTGCGGCTTCTCCTTAGGGAGGCATTAAGTTGCCTTCCTTTGTGCTACCTTAAAACTGCTTGTCCTTCTCCAGCTCCCTTGGAGCACAAGGACCAGTGTCATCTTTGGAACAATAAATGAAAGTAGTTAGAGTGGGATTCCAACTTCACATTGTTGGCATTCCTGGAAACTCATGCATTTTCATTCCCCCCTCCTCCCTACTTCTCATTGAGACCCCATAAGATAGCAGCAATTAGAAGCTCTGAAATGAATAGGAACAATAGCTACTGGTATGTTTTATTCTTAAGATTTGAATGGTAGACATTTAGCAAGCAGAATACATCTCACTTTTTTTTCCTTTTGCTTACCATTTGTATATTCAGTATACATGTATAGATAGCATTTTTAAAGTGGATTTCCTGCCAATATTTTCTGTAATAACATATTTTCCATTGATATATTTTAGTGTCTATTTAACCAAAATGCTCTATGTGATCATGGTGTCAGAATACAGTGAAATGGCCCATTCTCCCTAGAAAAGCCCTCTGTCTCCACCATTTTCCTTTCCCACCTGTTAAAAGCCTGCTCATTCTGCAGGACCCAGCTCACACTATACCTCCTCCAGAAAATTGTCCCAGATCCTCTCAGGAGGATTCTCCTCCCTCCCTCATGGCTCCTACTGTGGGTGTTTTTACCTCTGCTTTGACTGGAGCCTACTCTGTAATTCAGCTATTGTTGATGTCTGTCTGCACAGCTAGACTATGAGGCCAGGAGGAAAAGAACTTCTGGCCTCCTTTCTGGACTCTGCCACTCCTAGGAGAGTGCCTGGCACAGTAGAAGAGCTCTGTTACCTGAAGATAAAGTGTAGACGACCACCCAGCCTTCTGAGCCTGAGAAAAGCATGCCAGTTCCAGTTTGGGGTCCCTCTGGATTAGGGACATCAAGCCACTCCTGACCCACTTCTCCCACCCCACTTCCACTTGTATTTGACAATGATGTTGAGACTCCCTCCATTAGAATTTTTAATATTTTTTTCATCTAAATGTTCATCTTTAGAAATATGTAACTAGATGGCTTGTGAAGTGAGAGAATTAAAAAGCGCTATCTTCTATCTGAATGAATAAATCATTTATATTAGCTCCCCTGTTTATAAGCTGATCTGGAACTGGCAACAAATGCCAAGGCATCAGTACTCTTTGACATGGTGTATTTATTCATTTATTTATTTTTTAAGCGCTCTGACAGGTTGTTTACTGTAAGTCAAATGTCAGTTAGCACTGGCCCCATCAGGAGCTGCTGTGCTACATGTGCTTGTATTTAGCCTTTGAGTCATCCTGATTATTTTGGCTTTTATTCGCACAAGATAGTTACCTAAAAAGAGTCATACCATCCCCCCCACCCCCACACTCCTACTTAGAATTTTAACATTTTCTTAAAACCATACCTTGTTGGCAACCCCATCATTTCAGTATTGCATTTTTTTCTCCTGATAAGGTAAATGACACTTTAGCCTTAGTTAATGTAAAACAGGAAGGTGTTA